CTTGATTCTTTCATCCTTAACATAACAAGAACAATTTTATATAACTGTGCGTGCTGAACAGTTTACCATCTGCAGTGTTCCATGAAATGAAATCAGAATTAAGCAATCCCCAAATGATTTTTAATTTTTGAGATGGAGTTTTGCTCTTGTTGCCCAGGCTGGAGTGCAATGGCACGATCTCGGCTCACCACAACCTCTACCTCCCTGGTTCAAGCAATTCTCCTGCCTCAGCCTCCCGAGTGGCTAGGATTACAGGCATGTGTCACCATGCCCAGCTATTTTTGTATTTTTGGTAGAGATAGGGTTTCTCCATGTTGGTAATGCTGGTCTCGAACTCCCAACCTCAGGTGATCCATCTACCTTGGCCTCCCGAAGTGCTGGGATTACAGGTGTGAGCCGCAGTGCCCGGCCTGATTTTTTATTACAAACAATGCTGCAGTAAACTATTTTTTTTTTACATCTATCTTTGTGTATTTCTGTAGGGTACATTTATCGAAGTAGAAACAGTAGATCCAAAATGGGATGCGTATGAATTCATTCTCACATTAAATAAAGAAATACCCAAAACTGAGTAATTTATAAGAAAAGAGGTTTCATTGGCTCACAGTTCTGCAGGCTGTACAGGAAGCATGGCATCATCTGCTTCTGGGGAGGCCTCAGGAAGCTTTTACTTATGGCAGAAGGAGCAGGTGTCTTACATGGCAGGAGCAGAAGGAAGAGAGTGAGGGAGGAGGTGCTGCACACTTTTAAACAACCAGATCTCACGAGAACTTACTCACTGTCACGAGAATAGCACCAAGGGGATGATGCTAAATCATTCATGAGAAATCCACCCCCACAATCCCATGATTCAACCACCTCCCACCAGGCCCCACCTCCAATCCTGGGGCCTACAACTCAACATGGATTTGGAGAGGATGCTGATCCAAACCATATCAACATGTAAATGAAAAAATGTTTAATACTTTCCAAACAATCTGGATAACAGAAATGAAATGTATTTGAATGTCTCTTCTAAGTGCTGAAGGTATTTTTAAATCTGAGTCCAAATACAAGGCTGGCATCAGGACATTTGTTTCCCAGAGCTGGTTTTAGATTCTTGGTTCTGCAACTGGGCAGTTATGAAACTTGGAGAAACAAAGAAGGTACCCCTTTCATCACTCCAGGCCTCTGTTTCTTCCACATGAAACAACAGCATGGTAAAATATGCTTTCTGAAGCCTGCTTTTGCTCTATCACTCCCTGATTTGATTAGTGATTTAGCTCTCTGCCTTTGTTTTCCTGTTTGTAAAAAAGAATTTTATTGGCTGGGCCGGGTGGGGTGGCTCACTCCTGCAATCCCAGCTCTTTGGGAGGCCGAGGCAGGTGGATAACAAGATCAGGAGTTTAAGACCAGCCTGGCCAAGATGGTGAAACCCCGTCTCTACTAAAACTACAAAAGTTATGCAGGCGTGGTGGCAGGCGCCTGTAATCCCAGCTACTCAGGAGGCTGAGGCAGGAGAATCGCTTGAACCCTGGTAGCAGAGGTTACAGTAAGCTGAGACCTTGCCACTGCACTCTAGCCTGGGTGACAGAGTGAGGCTCTGTCTCAAAAAAAAAAAAAAAAATTATTTCTTTGCCCTTCCAGGATCAATTAGTCAATGCATCCATTAGTAAAGAACTTTCAACCTTGAAGTGCTAAGTAGCTCTGTTATTGTAGAGCAAGCTGATATTGGCCGCATATGACCCAAACTGCTGCAACTCTAAAATAGTTGCTGAGTCTTCATGAGAACAAGAGATACTTATTGAATCCAAAAGGCCACTCTGTCTCAGCACTCTGGCCTGTGGGGTTGATGAGAGGCAGTTGTTTGGGAAGGAGGTGTTTGGGAAGCCTGATCAGGTATCACATCTCCTTTGGGAACTTGCCTTGGGAACTGTATATCCCTAAACAAAGAAGGAATTATGTGAACCACATCCTCACAGAACACAGCATGTATTACATGAGGAACTGACCCAATCTGTGTCTGTGGTGTCTGGGACAATAGCTAAGATAATAAGGGCTTCTATTTCCCCCGGGTTCTCCAATCATCCATGTGACCCTCTCAACATCTCTGATACAATAGCCAGAGAGGGGTAGTCACCCCCATGGTTAAGATGCAGAAGCAGAAATTCAGAGTGGCGTGCAGACCATCTTCTAACACAGGCAGCAGTGCATGGCGGAGTCAGACAGTCCTGGCTCCATCCTGTTCTGCCACTCTGGGGCGTGTTACTCCCCGGCTCTTTTCTGCTGGTTCTTTTTAATGGCGGGACTCCTCTTTGGTGCCTTCTCTACTCCAGGCTTATCCAGTTGAGAAGGTGCAGCACTTTGGCATTTTAAGGGACACGTACAGGATGCAGCATGGAATTTCTCTGAATTTGGGATCCTGCCGATAGTAAGCTTTATTTTCTAAAATGCAAGAAAAAAGAAAGTTAAATGACTAAAGATTATCTTTAAGACTGTTGCTTCCCAATCTGTCCTCATTCATAACCTTTGGAGCTGGTTTTGAAGAAAGTCCTGTGGTGAACTGTAATATCTGGACCAGAAGAAGGCAGGGGTGACTTACTTGGCTACTTGGGTGGATTTTTATTTTCTGGGGTCCATGGGCCTGAACTTTTAAGGAAGGATCCAGGGAGCATTGACGGTGCTCTAAGGGGCCCAAGGGCACCAAGAATTAAAAAGTTTTTTTGAAACAAGTGAATCAAAATGAAACCTCCAGACAAGACTCACCCAGACAAGACTGGGAGAAAATTGAAACTTGATCAGTTTCTCCTTGATCAGTTTCTCCACCTTCAGGTCCTTCCCCTGCACACACCTTCTCCCCTTCCTTTTAAAATCTCAGTTCTCTCTCCTCCCTGTCCCTGCCCTGTTACCACCCCAACCTCCAATTCCCTCATCTGTAGCATTACAGGGTGGATTGGCTTGGGCACTTTCAAACATTGAGGGCCAATGGCTACTCTTTCTTTGGTTCCACATCTCCCTTTTCCAGTATTCTTTTTCCTTCCAGGGACCATGTGTTTGAATTTTAAAAGAGCAGTGGATATCCATGAACACAAATAAGTTAGGAATGGTGGCAGTGGGAAGTAAGGGAATTTTCTGATCTTCTAGATAATCGTGAAGATGGATATTGAATATTTCTTTGTAGCATCTAGGGGTTGTTATCAATTAGAAAGGGGAGGCAGAATGAGCGCGAGAGAAATGCAGTTGCCCCCTTCCCATGCAATGAGTCCGCAGTCTAGAAAGGCAGTCAGGATAAACTGCAGTCAGCAACACCCAGGTACAGCTCCTGGATCTGCTCACAGGCAAAAACTCTTTTCTTGGCTTCCAAATTGATGCCTGGATCTTTGGGTCAGAGTAGTGTTTGGTAGTTTTCAGAAAAGTTCAGAAGCTTCTATTGACCACTTGGTCCCCGTGTGGATCTTTGGCAGAGAAAATGTACTATAGTTACCAGATTGTTGGACTGCAGCCCTGAAATCTACTTCTTTTCCACCATGCAAACTCCCATCCAGTCTTCAAAACCCAAGCCAAACCCTACTTTCTTTGAGACAGCATCCCGACCTCCTTCATATAGGTTTACTCCATTCTACCGGTGTGAACCTATGGCCCTGTGTTCATATCTCAGGGCACACACAGTATTGTAAGTAGCATGTAACATGCCTGCTTCATCCATTTTTCTGTAAGCTTCTTAAACTTAGGCTGAGGCCATTTTTGCAGCTCTTAAATTTAGCACAGTATCCAGCACCCAGTAGATGCTCAATAAATAGAAAGTGAATGAATGTGTGCTTGCTCTACCACTAACTAGTGTACCTTAGACAACTCACTCACTTGTTCTCACTGGGATTACTCATTTAGTGTAATGAGTAATAGGGATAGCACAATTCGTATGACGAAAGGGATTATTATGTAGCACAGAAGAGATAAGACATATTCTTTTTTTTTTTTTTTTTTTTTTTTTTTGAGACGGAGTTTTGCTCTTGTTACCCAGGCTGGAGTGCAATGGCGTGATCTCGGCTCACCGCAACCTCCGCCTCCCGGGTTCAAGCAATTCTCCTGCCTCAGCCTCCTGAGTAGCTGGGATTACAGGCATTCGCCAACATGCCCAGCTAATTTTTTGTATTTTTAGTAGAGACGGGGTTTCACCATATTGACCAGGATGGTCTCGATCTCTTGACCTTATGATCCACCCGCCTCGGCCTCCCAAAGTGCTGTGATTACAGGCTTGAGCCACCGCACCCGGCCATGACATATTCTTAATCTAGATATGCTACATAATCAAAAAATTCCCAGAGCTGGAAGAAATTTGGAAATCATCTAATACAACAGTTTTCAGAAATCTGAAGACAAGGAACTGTTTCTTAAGGGAAGCTTACAGGAAAGATTGGACTAATCTTTTTTCATAAAAGATAAATGTGAGCTTCTCCAGGTGAAGATCCAGCATACTCTCTCCTTCCTCTCTTCTCCTTTCACCTCCATCCCAGGGATGCAAGACGCACCGTTTGAAAGCCAGCCTTTTACGTTAGTGAGAATAAGCTGAAGCCCAGAGAAGGCAGTGAATTTCCTAAGGTCATAGGGCTAGTTAGAAATAAAAGTATACCAGTGAAGGAATTAACATCATGAAGACAGTAGTGATATTCAGGACAATAGCTAGTCCTTGAAAAAACATAACATGCTCCGTGCATACCCATATATTATGGTTTGTTTGTTGTTGTTTTTCTTTGAGACAGGGTCTCGCTCTGTCTTCCAGGCTGGAGTATAGTGGTGCAACCATAGCTCATTGTAACCCTGAACTCTTAGACTCAAGTGATCCTCCTGCCTTGGTCTTCTGAAGTGCTGGGATTGCAAGTGTGAGCCACCATGCCCAGAACCTCACATTATGTTTAATTCTTGCAATACTCTATGAGGAAGCTAGGGCTATGACAATTTCTGAGATGAGGAAACTGAGGCTTTAAAAAATGGGCTTGTATAACATTCCACGGTTAGTTGTAGTAGAAGTAAAAGTAACTAGTAACTTTATCGAGCATCTAATATGTGCCAGTCACCTTGTAAGCATGTTATACATATTATCTCATTTAATTATCCCACAACCAGCACCATCATTAGCCATAATTTTACAGAAAAGAAAACTGCGCAAATTGGTTGAAGGAGCGGGTTTGGAACCCCTGCACCAATCTGAATTCATGCACGCTCTTTTTGCTACCTCATGCTGATCGGAGGTTCTGAACCCAGGTGCTCTGTCTCTTAGCCCAGTGCCCTCTCCAAATGCTACTTGATATGAAAGAATCCTAAAAGAGTCCTGAAGGAGCATTCTGTTATTTGCACTTGGTGGTGGAAGAAGGGGGAGCCTTATTAGTATTCAGGGTAGTTTTCAGACTCTGTCTAAGACCTTGATCTTGTTCCATCTGGTACTGATTTGCCCTGTTTAGGGCTGGTCAGTATGACTCACCTCCTTCTGGATGGACCGGGTGAGAAACAAGGAGACCTCCTCCAGGTTCTGGGGCTTCAGGCCATTCACTGCCAAAAGATGATCTCCATGGCAAAATATGCATCCCAGACGTGGGGGACCTTCCCACTGAGCCACACTGCAGTGGGAATACAATATCCAACACCAGTGTGAGGCTGAGCTTACCAGGAAGGCAGGGCATGCATAGAGTCTACAGGGTCTCCTGACTCTAGGTCACGTGGCACCACCTCTGAAGTAGACTATCTCCTTCTGTTTGGAATATTGTTTCCTCTGTCACTAGTATCAGAGCCTAACCCTTCCTCCAAAGCCCAGCTCAAATTACATCGTCCTTACAAAGCCCCATAAAGTCCTAGATTCCCTTGCTCTGCTATAATTCATCTCCCCTACCCCTGCACTTCTATTACATTGTGTGAGTACCTGATTTGTTACATTTTTAAATAAAATGCATTTTACTTGCATTTTATTTAAAAATACATTGACTTGTTTGTGTGGCTGTCTTTTTTTTACCACGCTATATGACCCCAGAAGTATGATGACACCTTCTTGTTTGTTTCATTTTTTTAATTTTTAAAACCCCGTGTTTCTAGGTAAAGAAAGAGTGTTCAGCATTTGTTGGAAGTGAGGACGTAATGATTACACAATGAATATCTAATGAACAAATAAATGAGTTAAAGAATGAAGTATTTCAGTTACAGAGGAGTCCGCAGTTTTGGTCAGGTGTTTGTTGAGCCTTAGATTGTGGAATATTTGGAAAAATGATAAGTGTGGTTCCTCTTTTCTTAGAACTTATAAGACAACTAATGTGCAGTGTTTACATTAAAGAGCTTTCTTCCCTTATAAAGATGTAATCTTCCATCAAAATAAATTACAAAATCTGTAAAAAAAAAATGCCATATCAAATAGGCAGTGATTACTCTAAGAAAATTCTCTGCCACACAGTCTTTTGTGTCTGTGACTGTGAGTAGCAGTTTTTTTGTTTGTTTGTTTTTTTGTTATTACCTAGTGTCTGGAAGTCTTAGAACCTGACATGCTTTCTTCTTACAGACCTTTGATTCTTTTCTTTTTTGAGACAGTCTTCCTCTCTTGCCCAGGCTAGAGTGCAGTGGTGTGATCCTGGCTTGCTGCAATTTCTGCCTCTCAGGTTCAAGAGATTCTCTTGCCTCAGCTTCCTGAGCAGCTGGGATTACAGGTGTGCACCACCACACCCAGCTAATTTTTTATTTTTATTTTTAGTAGAGAAGGGGTTTTACCATGTTGGCCAGGATGGTCTCAATCTTCTGACCTTGTGATCTCCCTGCCTTGGCCTCCCAAAGTGCTGGAATTAGAGTTATGAGCCACCATGCCCAGCCTAGACCTTTGATTCTTGTTACTTTGCTAATTTCATTCATTCATCAAATACTCATTGCTGTGATTGGAAATGATGTCCTTGGGTCCTATGTATCCCTGCCCATTCTTCCTCCCTTTGAGAAGTCAGAAATGTGTTGCTTCCTGAACTTTTGGGTCCTGTTCTTCCTTTCCCTCACCCCTTAGCTGACTTTCTTACACAATACCCTGATTTCTGCCACAATCTAAGACTTTTTTGTAACAACAGCAAGACAACAGTCAGTGTTGCCAAATACAGTGTTTCAAAATGTAATTGTTCTTTTTATAGCTTCCAGCCCCATTTATAATCCACAACAGTCAAATCTCCAACCTACCATATCCGTCCTGCGGCTTCTGTGAGAGCAAGATAGTTTATGACATCAGGAGAAGAAAGGAAAACGTTCAGTTTCTCCACTTGGCTTTCATCAGGGATGTTACTACGAACAAGACATTTGTAAAAGTCACATCAGGCACCTGGCCCTGGCTCTCAGCTGTACTTTCTGAGTACACTTGTGGCCTCTATTTCTAAGATGATATTGTCCAGGTAAAGGCTGTCCAAAACATTTGGAGAATAATATAAATTTACTGAAAAATCTTCTTGGGATGTGGTAGTGCTCTTGGTATCACTTAAAACCTAAATAACCCACTCCCAGTCTATAAGCCTCATGCAACTTGCATGCCTATAATTACACTCATGTAAAAACTGAGTGACAGACTACTCAGATCCACATGGACCCCAATTCCTGGGACCTGAAAGACTAGCCAAGGGATAATTTTTAAAAATAGCTGAAAATGCCACCCAGCCCCAGAGACCACTTTGCTCCAGCTCTATCATTCCCTTTCCTTGACTACAATCTCAGTGACAGGGAGAAGATGGTCAGGTTCTTGGCTGACTTGGAGATTTTTAGGAACTGCTTTAAAATTTTAATTCTAGGTTAAAAAATAGTGAGAGGGAGCCTGCCTTGCTCTTAGGGCCCATAAAGTTTTAGAAATTAGAGCTTTACTTGATGAGTATAGACAATTGCACAACAGTTAGTGAGGCCGACCCCTTTTTGTCACTTGTGTTCTGTGCTTCCGTATCGGCAGGGGAAAGACATGAATCAATTTCTGAGCCTTGTTCTTGCAGGTGGAAGTCCTCATCCTGGGTCTCCGAAAGGGTCTGGGGTTCCTCTTTGCTGCTATCCACAGACTCATGGGATGTCTCTTTGAAAATACTAGAGTATAAGAAGTTAAAACAAACCCTATTTTAGCATGTGTTTCTGCAGTGTTCCCCTGTGTGTGTCAGATTTAAGTAACTAACAGACATGTGAAGACTAACAAGGTCTTGAAGTATGTCCAACTGTCAGAATCATAGCCACCGTTAGAATCAAATCCAACAAACCTTCTTTCTAAAAATGGATATGGAATCAAAATTACCCTTTACAGGGTTTGAAGGACAGAAGTGAGAGTATGAGAGACATAAACACAAAGCAGAAAATAACTTCCTCAGGAGATGGAAAAGTTCCTGAGGATGTCACCAGTGGTTTTTTGTGGGTGGAGAAACGACTCCCTCATTTTTGTGTTGAGATGACTGAATGACATGTGGAATCTGGTCTGTGGTCATGTTTTGCATCAGTTTATCAACTATTAAAATGAACTGATAGTCATTGCCCTGCAACAGCAGATGAAAAACAAAATCAAACTTTTAAATGGCACTTTTACTTACCAGGATTTCATTGACACATAATGGCCCTCGATTCTTCCAGAGACCTGCTCTGGACCATCAGTTTCAATGGATTCACCAGAAGCACTGGAAGCAATGACATTATCCAGCTGTATAAAACAGGAGTATATATAAGAATCCTATTTTACCAATAAGTCAGGTACCTTCTTATTTCTAGTGTTTATAGCTCTGAGCTCTGACATAGTAGGTACACCTTCCAGTGGATGAACATGGTTCTCATTTGGGAAACAATCAACCGACCTTACCTCCATGAGACTGAATCAGCAAAGCTTCTGGCAGACTCAAAGTCAATTTCTTCTCCTGGATCCCTCAAGCTCCCGACACAAGTGTCGTTTCTATGGAACTAAATTGCTATTTACCTTTTTGTTTCACCATTAGGCACTTAAGAACACGAAAGCTTTCCCTCAGTCAGTTCTACTATAGAATTATGGCACTTAGTTGGGTCAGAGACTTTGACACAGTGTGAAGCTGGTCTCAGGCTACTATGCTCACAGGCATCCCAAGTGGCTTCAGGGACACCACAATAGTCAAGAAAAATACTGTGTTTAGGAGGCTCTCAATAGCCCCCTTAGAACAAGAGAGTCACTTGTGGCAATGATTGCTCAAAAACCCTAAGGCCTACCTAAGTTCATCGTTAACCCATGATCAAAACCTTCCTTCCAGTCAAGCCAGTCTTCCCACTGGCCCCCTGCAAATGTGCTCTTCCATCCCCATGTTCATGCTGTCTTCCTCACCTAGAGTGCCACCTTTCCTTTCTGCCTATTGAAATCGTGTTCAGGCCTGGCTGGAGTCCCACAGTCCCCTCTGGTCACCTCAGCTACTGCAGAGCTCTCCTTTCTCCAATTTCCATTGTATAATTTTGTACTTTTTTTTTTGGCCTTTTTAGCTTAGTTTTGTCTGCTTTACTAGACTTTGCCTATCATAAAGTACCTAGCAAATGCCAGGCCTATAACAGATGCTCAATACACATCTGATTGCTTGGCTATCGTAAAAGACTGCATCCCAGGAAACACAAATATGAAAATATTTTAGTGAAAGAAAAATGCCATGTGTTGTATCTGACTTGACCATTTACAATGCACCACTGTGTACTAAATGCTCTGGGAATTCTACTAAGAAGCTTGTTTAACTTCTTTTAACTGGGTGTTTCCAGAACTTATTTGGCCCAGAATGTTTCTTTTACATAAACGTATGTCACCATCTTACAGAAAACCCCCAGTTTGGGAAATGACACAGCATTCCCACCCTCCATTCTGTCTTTTTATCTCCCCCTTCCATTCTCTTCTCTCTGCAGCCCATGGCAGATATAGCTGCTGGGTTATAGTATATTATAGTAATGGAGGATAATTATACATATTATAGTAATGGAGGATAATTCAGGTTTTGACTCTTCCCAACTCAGAAGCTGTCACTTCCCCTATGCTGTCTACAGAATGAAGTCAACTTGGCATTCAAGACCCATCATGGGCTGGCTCTTTTCTTCTGTTTATCTCCCACTATGCCTTCCATGCACTCTAGCTCACCGAACTATTCCCCATACAAATGACGTGTCATCCCGGAAGCCTTCCTTGATTCAGGTAGAGAGAAAAAAAATTCTGTCCTTTTTCTATTGTTTTTGGAGGATGTTGACCATGTCTTTTGTGCAGAATTATCCTGTGATAACTGACAAGACTGTGTGCTCTGTGAAGGCAAGGTGATGTCAGGTGCATTAGTTTGGCCACCATGCCCTGTACAGTACAGTGACTACTGCTCAGAAGGCATTCAGTAAGGGCTTCCAACTGATCAATAGACTGATTGATACACAGCACACAACTGATCACCCAAGGACCTTGGCTCACATTATTCTTTCTGCTAAGAACGCAGAAGAGAAAGACTCCTGAAGTCAATCCCCCACATCCAAATTGTACTCATAATGTATAGTCAAATGTCATCTCATCCCTGAAATTTTCCTGATTTTTTGTTTGAAAGTCATCTCCTCTTCCCAATGTTTGTGCACCCCTGGTATTTTATAAGCATCTCTCTTCAGCATAGAACCCTTCTCTCTCGTATTACCACTGGCTCCTAGTCCAGTGTCAGCACCATGAGCTCATCATCTGTATTTGATTTACCTCTGTGTTCCCACTGACCCTCACCTAATGTTGTGCAAAAAGTGCATGGCAGGGGTTCAGTAAATATTTGTTAAAGGAACAAATGATGAATGGACAAGAAGGTGTTACCTCTAAAAGAACACTTCGAGGAGTAAGATAATGACTCTCTTCCTCCATATCTTGAGTGGTTTCTGACGACAAATCTTGCAGAGCAGCTTGCCTAAGTCCTGGAGAACTTTTTTCTATTAAACGCTGAAGAAAAGAGACAAAAATGCTTTGCTTTTTCTTTGCAAGAGATGGAATTAAATCACATGCATTCTGGAAAAGCCATAATAAATTAGTTGGGTTAAAAAGACCAGAGGGTCTTCCAGGGTTATATCTGAAAGCTCACACAGCTTGAACTTGCCTCTTGAGTCTGGGTCACCACTGAGGATGAAAAAACATAAGCCCGTCACTCAGGCTTTTTTCTCTACCATTTGGAACAGTCACTCAGAACAAGTGGTTTCTTCTTGTGGGTGATTTTCAAAGTCACTAAACTCTGGAGTCCCCATCCTCATCTTTTTCCTGTTATCATCCAATGCCATCTGAGAAGGTAGTTAACCCAGAGTCACAGCGTTGCGCCTTCTCTCCTGCTCCATATTTTTCTTTTGTGTTCTGCTCACACACTTCCATCATTTCCATAGCAATGTAATTTGGCTATGTTGATTATGTGGTAGTGTGAATCGCAGGCTTCCAGATGATCTAGATTCAACCACTATTGCCTTCCCTTCCCCATAGATATATAATATTCTACTAAAGTACCTTCTTTGCATGGCAGAAAAATTCCAAGAACAATGCCTCAGAGCAGGGAGTTTGGAAAAGACCCTGAATGTTCTCTAGAAAGAAGGCAAGTTTTAAAAAATTAGATATGTTTAAGTTCTGTCCACATTTTAAGATCCAAGTTCATGGAGCCAGATTACGGTGAGCTGGGGGGAAAGGAAGATTCCCCACTTAATTTAACCAACAGCAACACCACCATCCAGCAAGGCAAATAGTACTCTTAACTTGAGCTGGTTTAGAAATTATTGGATCTATAGTGTGAAAAGACAAAATGACCAATAATGTGATCTCTAGGGGGAAGGAGATATCATGAGTGGAAAGCAACAGGTACGTTCTGAAAAGGGTGAGGCTTCCTAACTGCTGCATACCACCATTTCTACTCACTAAAGGAAGAACTGAGGGGAGGTGTTTGGCATGGTGAATTTGATATGCTATGAAAAGCTTTCAAAATAGTTGGAGAGTTACCAACTAGATAACATAAGGGATGGGACTCATTAGATGAGCTTGGTAATACATGGACAGGGCAAAGTCAATGGCTAAGTCTCTAGGGAACCAAATAGTTTCCATAACAGAGATGAAACCACTCGGCATGTTTATGACTCATATCCCAAGCTGGGAACATTACAAATCCAAGAAAGCTGAAGGCCCAATTATGAGTCACTTTCAAGAGGCAGGTGCATTATATTTTATGTCCTCAAATGGATTTCATTAGAAATGAGGATGAAGTGATAGGCGGCTATAATGAATGAGAAGTAAGATCGAAGATTGATCAGGGTAAAGGGAGGAAATTAACAAGAAACTCGGCCTTTGCCTGAGGAGTACAGACAGAATGGGCAGAAATCAGGTGGTGGTCGGGAAATCTTTCGGCAGAGGGATCTGTGCCCTCTGTGTGAATAAAAGGAAGAAGTTGCCAGCCAGGTTTTGGTTTAGCAAAGGGATCTTACCCTAGCCATACCCAAAGCAAATAAAGAGTATCCAAAATGGATGAATACACTGAGAGGTATTCAGGGCAAGCCACGAGGCTCCTCTGTGGTATGGGATAAACATCAGGGCTAAGAATCATTCTTACAGTGCATCAGGCTTTGAGGAAGGTGGGCATGGTTAAATGCAATTGCTAATTGGTAAGATCCTGAAGCGTTAGCTGACTCCCAGGTGTGGTGTCCTGAGAAAGAAGTGAACCCCATTACCAAGTCTTGGAGACCGTTTCTTGGCGAGCTGGAGCCAACAGCCTCTGATGTGCTGGAAGAGCCAAGGAGAGGGCTGGGGTAGAAGACAGTTCTTTTATTACCCAGTGAGAGTTCCTCCTGCTCACAGAAAAGGAATCAGTCAGGGCACAGTTGATCTCTGTCTGGAATGAAATGGTATTTTCACTCCAGAAATGCGCCCTTTGCCTCCCGTCTTTCCGCACAGCCATCTAACATTCCTGCCGCTGGCCTGCCGGCATTATCTCACCAAGATGAGAGCCAAACTTGTCTCTCTCCTTTCTCCAAACCCTTGAGGACGTTAAGCCTGACCCTCAAAGGTGACCAGCGTTGTCCTCAACCTATCTTCTCAACTGTCTCCTTCTGATACCCTCTGCCCCAGTTCCCTTTGCTCTAATCATTTCCGTCTACTTGAAGACATGCCTTGATTTCTCCTTCTCTTTGGCTTTTGCCGTAAGCATGGAAAAACCTAGAAAACATGTCACAGAAGATACAGAGGGGCCAAAGTTCCACCTATAAAGGTCCGCCCTGAGAAAGGACTTGGGGACATTAGTAGAGGCCTTTATGAAGTAAATTAAAACCTTAAAACTACTAAGCACTCACACAAAAGAGACATTCTATTAAAAATGCAAGATAGGTGAAAAACATTTTTATAGAAACTGCCCTAGACTTAGTCATTCAGAAGGAAGCTTGTTATGCACTTTGAATAACAATGATGCAAAAATACTATATTCTAAGCTACTACTTAAAAAGGCTACAGTTAACTTTTCTTCTCTCTACCACAATAATAAAAATCTGAAGTGTCTGTATTTCAGCTCTCTCGCAAAACACAAAAGAATTTTTTTCTATTGTTAATCTTAAAAAGTAATAAGGTTGTACATTTTCTCACTTATTTATTCCTTGCATTAATGCCAGTTGCTAAGGAGGCAAAAGACAGCTGCCATTGTTTTCTGTTGAAAGAGGGTTGTACTCAGGTGCGCTGTTATTTTATTAGTGATGTGGAGTTACCTCTGTGTTCTGATGTGTTGCTTTTATATCCCGGCAAAATGATGACATGATGGAGACCCAGTCTTTAATCTTCTCCCTGTTGATAGGAATGAACTTTCAGCTGGCATGTGGCAACAGTAGTGCCTGTACTCCTTTTGAACCAGAGAAGGATTCTTTTATGAAGGTTAGAATGGCGGTGAAAGCAGGTATCAGCAAAATAAGGATTTTTCCTAAGTAGCTTAAATGGCCTCGCCACCTCCACATTTGCATGCTAAAATTAATGCTCAGCCACCTCTGCAAGGAAAGCTCAGAGAAAGGGAAGAAAAGTAGAAAATAATGGTAGTAATCACAGGGTTTGGGGCTTTCGGCTTTGACACCGATTTCCTCTGTGTTCTCAAGTAAGCCCCCTAACCTGTCAGTGCTATTTTTGTGTGACTGTGCAGGTGTGCCTTCCCTTAGGGAGTGCATGCGTTGATGAAGAATGTGCTTGAATGAATTTGAATAGTCACATCTTTTTTATGGGCTCACAGGGCAACTTAAAGCTTTGGTCAATCTGAAGCAGATCAGGGTTTTCATATGTCAGCTTTGGCATTGTCCCCCTCCTCTGCACAGTCTCCCCCACACCAGCATTGCCTCTCCCTCAAGCAGATAATCATCCATGAAGAGTCCACTAGGCACCTTTGCTAGGACCAGAAGCCCCTCTTAAAAACTGCATGATCCTTAGAGGGCAAGCCTAGTTCCTCCCTAATATATGTAGCTTGCTTGTGTAGATGTTTGTGTATTGGGTTCTTTTACATGGAATGCTTCTGGGGTGATGGTGATTGTTATTAGTTGAAATGTACCCTCCCCACCCAGCTTGTGTGTTGCAGATCCATATCCCAATACCTCAGAATATGACCTTATTTGGAAAGAGGGTCATTGCAGATGTAATTAGTCTAGATGAGGAGGTCCTGGCATAGAGTGGGCTCCACTCTATATTATATTTATAAGAACACCAAGAATCCAATATTACTGGTGTTCTTACAAAAAGGGGAAATTTGGACACAGAGCTAGGCGCACAGGAATAACACCATGTGAAGACTGGAGTTATGTTGCCACAAGCCAAGGGAACTGCCAATAGTTAGGAGAGACCCCTGGAACAGATCCTTCCCAAGTGTCTTCAGAGAGAGCATGGCTCTACCAATACTTTGATTTCGGACTCCTCGTCCCGAGAACAATGAGACAATAAATTTCTATTGTTCCAAGTTACCCAGGATGTGGTTATAGCTACCCTAGGAAACTAGCTCAGTAACTTTTCAAGATATTTTAACAAATAACGAAGATTGCCAAGATGGCGTTCAAGGCTGTAGCATGGGTTCAGAACATGTTCACTGGGATAAAATGTTTTGTTTCTGGCTTGTTTTTGTTTTGCATGTGGTAGATGCTCTGTGTTATCTTACTTCTCTCACCTGTCATGGCTGATGAGGAAATATTCCCTGTTAGTGGTTCTGATGGACATGACCTCATCAGGGTGGCATTTAAACATCTTCTGCACAGATTGCATCTTTTCCTGGCTACTTATGCCAACTTCTACACTTGAATTTCTATTAGATACAGACACAAAGTATTAAACCGAGATAAATACAGAAATAGAAAACTGACATATTTTATATTGGGATTCAAATGAAATAAAACTTTAGATGTACTTGATCCACGTTTTGAAGATTGCCCAATAATTATAGAAGATAAGTTTGGGTTTTTGATCTGGTTAATTAATAATTAAAATTATTTTGTTTAGCCTGAGATTCAAAAATTTCTATTTTGATTGAATTCTTGATTGCACGAATCATCTTTTTCGATTTTGGGGTGCTTATTTATTAAAGAGAAGGCCAAAAGAAAGCTGGTCTAAATATTTTTTAAAAATCTATCTTGACTTTATAAAATGATAATTTCATCTGCTCCCTCTCATCCACAAATTACACGAATCAAACTCCTTAATTGAATGCCTATTAAAGACTTACCAAGTATAACATACATTATGAAACAAATACTCAACTATCTTTTACTCAAAGTGCTCACTATTTTAGCTGCTATTCAATCACAAATATTATAATAAGCTTGAAGCCTTTGGTTCCTTTGGTCAATTATGTAAATTTCAATTTGCATGCAACTTGTCACTGTTTGACTTTGTAGTATTTGTTGTTATAAAAGTTTCTTGCTTCGATACACACTGATCAATTTCAATGGCACCTCGCTGATGATGGTCTTTATAGTAGGAAAGACTAAAGCTCTTTTCCCCACTCTTTGACAGGACAAAAAACCGCTTTTTCCAAGAGCTCTGAAAAATAAAAAGATTTTATGTCTCAGTTAAATCTCAGAGGAAAAGAAGGGATCTCTAAAAATGCTCATGAGGCTTGTGGGAGGCTTGTTAATCATAGCAAATACTCACCACAGAGAAGAACAGCTGAGAAGGTGGTGATTTAATAAAGTAATCTTGTTTGCAGACTTCATTTTCATAATAAAATGTAAATTGTTTGCCTAACAAAAGTGAACAGAACTCAGTTTGTTCCTCATAAATTTCTGAAAAGAACTGCTTCATTTGGAAAACACTATTTATCTCCGGAAAGGCCTTCAGGTTATTTAGTAGTTATGGAAAAGAGCACTTATAATAACCCAAGAAAACAAAGGACCAAGTGTCTGATTCTTATTTCTCCACAGCCCAGACCTTCACTCAAACAACATTTGAAAGCATGTTAATTCGGCTCATACCTGTCTGGCTTTCTGTTTCTAGAGTATGTCTTTGGCTCTCTATGTGCGAGCAAGATTTGGCTCTATTTCCATTGCAGAGGCATGATAATTCTGCATTGCCCTTTGGCCTAGCAAACAAAAGCAAAAGCGCTGCTATTAAAAATGTTGTGGCAGAAACTACTTGGGGAAGGGGAGCAGGTGGAGTTGTTGTAGAAGTTGGGAAGGGGGGGAAGATAAAAACAGCCACCTCCCCAGAGTTACTGGATACTATCCTACAAGCCCCAGCAGTTGTATTACCAAATCCTGACTCTGTTTTCACTTAATAAAGAAGCTGTAATTGTTTAGTGAAGGCTGCCCTTTCCAAAACGAAGGACAAACTAAATCTACAGTCTGTATGTGAAGGCAAATCCAAGCTAAAACAAAAACAAAAACAAAGACAAACCCCAAATGAAGAAAACAAAAATAACAATATTGTGTTTAACAACACTAATTGGGTTTTTCTAAATAATGAATGTAATACATATTCATTGTAGGCATTTTAGAAAATACAGAAACAATGAAAACTGCCTGTAATTTCATCACTTACAGGGAAGCAGTTAACATTTTAGAAACTCCTTTATTTAATCACTTCTGCCACTCCATTTTCAATAGTGAGTGAGTTTACTTTTGCCTGCTAAGCCAAAGGACAACATCTACTGTCTCCCTCAAATATTCAAGAGTGCCGATTAACACGTGTGTGTGCTGAAACTACTGAGGCCAGAGAAAGAACCGTTAAAAAAGATCAGAGGTTCAGAAAAAGTGCCTGTTACCTCCAGCCAGACTAGAAACACTTATAATTTACAGGGCATTGGAGAGAGTTCTCAGGAATGTCTTGTCTCAGTGTGAGGAATAATTAGCTCTACACTAATTATTAGCTCTGCACTGAGCACTGCTCCAAACCCACCTAACAAATCATAATGGACTTAGAAGAAAGTGGCTTCCAAAAAAATTTAACTGCATCCCAGAACAAAGCTCAAGATTCATAGGAATACAAAGATATTCAGGACCCAAGAAGGTAAAATTTGTGGTGTTTGGTAATCAGTCAAGATTACCAGGCATACAAAGAGGAGGAAAACATGATCAATAATGAGGAGAAAAGTCAATCAATCAAAACAGGCCAAGAACTGACACAGATGTTAGAATTGGCAGAGAAAGCGATTAAAACAGTTATTATCACTGTATTTTTAAGAAGTTAGGGAGAGATATAAAAGATAGAAGATCCAAAGTGAAATTTTAGAGATGAAAACTACAATGTCTCAGAAAAACAATAACAAGAGTGGATGGTAGTAAGAGCAGATTAAATGTTGTAGAAGAAAAGAGTAGTGCACTTACAGGCATAGAAATGGTAACGATCAACATAAACAGTGAGAAAATAATTGGAAAACTCAAAAAGAGCACCATACACTGTGGACAATTTCAAGTAGCCTAGTATACAAGTAATAGGAGTCCCTGAAGTGAGAGAGTAAGCAATAAAAAGTATTCGAAGTAATAATGCTAAAAACTTTACAAACCTAAAACTATAATCACAGAAATCCAGTAGTTTAATGAAGCCTAGCACAAGATACACAAAGAAAAGTACATCCACGCATGTCATAACTGAATTGTTCAAAACCAGTGATAAAGAAAAAAAATCTTAAAAGCAGCCAGAGGAAGAAAAGACCTATTGCATACAGAACAAAGACAAGAAACAGTGATATTGATTTCTCATCAGAAAAAAAAAATGCAAACAAGAAAAAGTAAAACAATATATTTAAGGGCATCATGGCTCACAACTAATCTCAGCACTTTGGGAGGCTAGGGCAGGTGGATCTTCTGAGATCAGGAGTGTGAGACCAGCTTGGTGAACATGGCGAAACCCTGTCTCTGCAAAAAAACAAAAATTAGCTGGGCATGGTGGTGCCAGGCTGTAGTCCCAGCTACTTGGGAGGCTGAGGCAGGAGAATGGCTTGAACCCAAGAGGTGGAGGTTGCAGTGAGCCGAGATTGCACCACTGTACTTCAGCCTGGGTGACAGAGCAAGACTCTGTCTCAAAATAAATAAATAAATAAATAAATAAAATAAAATAAATTCCTAAGGCCCTTAAGAATGTTACTGAATCTACTCTCCCCATGCTCTATCAACAAAACAACAAAGCCTGGATGACAGCATATCTGTTTATAACATGGTTTACTGAATATTTCTAAGCCCATTGCAGAGACCCATGACTTAGAAAAAAAAAAGATTCCTTTAAAAATATTACTGGTCATTGACAATACACCTGGTCACCCAAGAGCTCCGATGGAGGTGTACAAGGCGATTAGTGTGGTTTTCATGCCTGCTAACACAACACCTCTTCGGTAGCCCATGGATCAAGGAATAATTTCAACTTAAATCTTATTATTTAAGAAATACATTTCATAAGGCTATAGCTGTTATAGATAGTGATTCCTCTGATGGCTCTGGGCAAAGTTAATAGCAAACCTTCTGGAAAGGAGTCACCATTCTAGATGCCATTAGAAATATTCATGGCACTTGGCAGGAGGTCAAAATAACAGCATGAACAGGAGTCTAGAAGAAGTGGATTCCAATACTTCTCAATGACTTTGAGGGGTTCAAACTTCCTTCAGTGGAGGAAGTAACTGCAGATGTGGTGAAAATAACAAGAGAACTAGAATTAGAAGTGAACTCTGATGATGTGACTGAATTGCTGCAATCTTATGATCTAACTTCAACAGATAAGGAGCTGCTTCTTACGGGATATGAAAAGAGATGTGTTTTCTTGAGATGGCGTCTACAGCTGGTGAACATGCTGTGTTTATTTTTGAAATCACAATAAAGGCTTTAAAATATTACGTAAACTCAGCTGATAAATCAGTATCAGGGTTTGAGAGGATTGATTCCAATTTTGAAAGAAGTTCCACTGTGGGTAAAATCAAACAGCATCACTTGCTACAGAGAAATTTTTCATGAAAGTAAAAACCATCTATGTGGTTGGTCAACTTCATTGTTGTCTTATTTTAAGAAATTGCCACAGCCATAACCTGATTATTCAGCAGCCATCAACACTGAGGCAAGACCCTCTACCAGCAAAGAGATTATGACTCACTGAAGGCTTAGATGCTTGTTAGCAAATTTTGGCAATAAAATATCTGTAATTAAGGTGGGCAAATTGTTTTCATAGACATAATGGCATTACACACTTGACTGCAGTGTAGTGTACATGTGACTTTTCTGGAATCCAATAAGTTTGTTTGACTAACTTTATTGTGATATTTGCTTGGTTGTAGTGACATGGAAACGGACTTGAAATATCTCTGAAGTATGCCTGTATATGTCTCATATCAAAACTTGAACAAATTGTATACTTTAGATATATATAGTTTATTGTATGCCAATTATAATAAACTATAGTAAAGGTATTAAAAATATGACCAATCTAAAATGCAAATCTGATCATTCCACTCTCATACTCAAAAGGCTCAAACAGTTACCTGTCAGATACGGTCAAGGTCTGGCACAATATGACACCACCTTTCTGTAGCCTCATCCTCTATTATCGCTTGTCCTACCTTATAACTATATTCTTCTCTGACACATTCTGCTTCTACACCATTTCACTGCATTGGTCATGCAATTCCTTCTGCTGGGATGTGCCCTCTTTTCTGATTTCTTTTAAATCCCTACTTCTCCTATAGGGTCTAGCTCAAATGCCTTCCCTATAAAACTTCTCTGGATTCTCATTATTATTTATATGCTTTTTCTTCTTTAGATTCCATAGCATCTGTACTTTCATTTCATGATTTCCATTACAGCCTAATCTTAATTTCCCAGCACAGCGACTTGCATAAGTTCCCAACAAGATTTTATTTTCTTTTTTTGAGACAGAGTCTCTCTCTGCTGCCCAGGCTGGATTGCAATGTTGCAATCTTGGCTTACTGCAACCTCTGCCTCCTGGGTTCCAGCAATTCTCCTGCCTCAGTTTCTTGATTTGCTGGGATTACAGGGGCATACCACCACAACCAATGAATTTTTTTTTTTTTTTTTTTTTTTCGTAGAGACCGGGTTTCACCATGTTGGCTAGGCTGGTCTCAAACTCCTGACCTCAAGTTATCTGCCCATCTCAGCCTCCTACTGATACAATTTCAAAACTCTTTGAGGGCAATGACCCTTATTTATTAATCTGTATATCCCCTGGTACAAAAAGCAGAGACTTACTAGTAATAGGTGCTTTGTAAATATTTTTTAGTTGAATTTGGATAATTTCTCTTCTAAGTGACTTCATCCTAAACTCAGCTTTTCTATCCACTCATCTACAAAGAATTGTGTGAATATGAGCAAGGGTATTTGAATACCATACATCGAGCTTCCCTCATAATAAGCCCTGGTGACAATGCAGGCAGCTTCTTGAAGTGAGTTTCATGTAAAATTAAGAAAATGTTTTCGAGTCTTTGCTTGTCCATAGTTTGCTATTAACATCATCTTTGGCAATGAATGGAATATTTGGCTCATGAAAATCAGAAAATGCTAAACTTCTAGACAAGTAAACTCTTATATAATAATTAACTGAATCCAAAAGTTCCTGCTACAATCTCCAACCCAAGAATCATTGTCACAGAATGTCACCCATTATCCCCACTACAACTAAGTTCTGGGGCTGGGTGTGGTGGCTCACATCTGTAATTGCAGCACTTTGGGAGGCTGAGGAGGGTGGATCACTTTAGGCCAAGGAGACCAGCCTGGCCAACATGGAGAAACCCCATCTCTACTAAAAATACAAAAATTAGGCAGGTGTGGTGGTGTATGCCTATAGTGCCAGCTACTAAGAAGGCTGAGGTCAGAGGATCGCTCGAGACCGGGAGGTTGCAGTGAGCTTAGATCACACCATTGTACTCCAGCCTAGGCAACAGAACAAGACTCTGTCTCAAAACAAAACAAAGCAAAACATGCACACAAAATCACCAAGTTCTGTATCCTGGTTAGCTTGAAGGGAATTGTGGGGCATTTTCAATAAAAAGATTTCTGCTTCTGAGATGATACCCCTCGAGTACCTGGACTCTTCTGAGGTTTGGGCTCCATGATGGCTGTGTCCTTGCCTGTCAAAAGGAAGGATTAGTGTTAGTCTCCAAACAACAGTATGTGTGTTTCATTGACTAGCCACTGAGTCCGTAAGTATTGGGATTGTGCTCACGGATGTTGCTGAGACAGGTTATGAGTCTCCTCTTTCCATTCATTCTTTAGTATTTCCCTCCCTGTCCCTGAGGCTGACGGTAGCCACAGCAACCGGGACTCATCCGAGCAGCTTCTCCTCACACAGTGGGTGGTTCTGCGGAGGCGTTGTCAAGATGACTGAAGGAGCTGTCTCCCTTGGACTTTCTCTGTTCTTGCTTCATAAGTGGCTTTGATAAGAGAGCCAGGGGATGGCAACACCAAGGAAAGGTAAGAACAGGACAGAGGACAGGATGCCATGGAGACAGCACAGCTGAGAAAGCGTCACTGGCTGAGAGGAAGCCCAGGATAAGCCCTTCTCCATGCTGGGGCCTCATTTTCTGCAATGGAAACTTAAGAACAAGGACCAGGCCACCTCTTCAACTGCCTCAGCCATCTGAGTGTCCCCTCCTTGAGGATGCTTATCTCTGCAGGCTGAGGCTAATCTGCAGAAACTGAATCTGAGAGGCAACGTCCTTTCCTGGCCAGCTTCTGGTGATCCTATGACCATCATTGGATGAGAGAATGAACTCCCTCAGGGGAAGGGCTGCAGGGCAGGTGAGGTCGTCTTTGAAACCAGGAATTTGTTGGTAACTTTCACCTTAAGTTAGTAAGACTATCAAAATAGAAGGCCCTAAAAAGGTAGGTGCCCAAGCAGCCCCAGGTAAGATGGGGAGGAGGCAGAGACCCTTGACCCTCCTGACCTCTACCTTTCTTCACATAAACTCATTCATTCTTCTTAACATGTACATGACTTACAGCAATTCTTTAACTAGGTGTGTGTATATGAATATACAGACATGAAAAAATACACATTCAGGCTGGGTGCGATGGCTCATACCTATAATCCCAGCACTTTGGGAGGCTGCGGTGGGTGGATTGCTTGAAGTCAGCAGTTTGAGACCAGCCTGTCCAACATGGTAAAATCCCATCTCTACTAAAAATACAAAAACTAGCTGGGCATGGTGGCAGGCACCTATAATCCCATCTACTTGGGAGGCTGAGGTAGGAGAATCACTTGGACCCAGAAGATGGAGGTTGCAGTGAGCCGAGATCACACCACTGAACTCCAGCCTGGGCAATAGAGCAAGCCTCTGTCTCAAATTAAAAACAAAAAACAAAAAACATATATATATATATATATATATATATAT